GAAATTTTCCCAACTCTGTACTTCATGGCTAAAACTGTGTTAATTTTGTGTTTTATTTTATGTGATGATGTAAAGTGCACATATCTACCGGAAAAAGTCGGTTTCGTGTACCAATCAAATTCGATTTTATTGTCGATGTTTCTGATGACTTTAGTGTCCAAAAATGGAACAGCATTATTAGTTTCCCTTTCTAAAGTAAATTGTATATACTTGTTAAATTTGTTGAAACTATCTAAGATCGAATTCAACGAATTTTCAGGGATCGAAGTTATTATGTCATCAACGTACTTTTTCAAGAAAGGTAACTCAAAATCTAAAGTAGGTAATATTTTGTTTAACACATGGTCCATCACTATCTGTGCCAGAATCGGGGAAATTGGGGAACCCATGGGTGTACCGAAAATCTGCTTGTATGTAACACCGTTGAAAGTAAAATACGTACTGTCACAAATGACAGATATAGCCCTCAAGAATAAATCTTTATCAACATCAAAATGCTCCAACACATAATCAAAATTCTCACTAATAATTTCCAAAACAAGAGATATGAGGACGTTGGTAAAGAGACTGACAACATCAAGAGAAATAATGACGTAACCCTGAGGAAGCTCCAACCCCCTCACCTCTTCAACAAACTGAAAAGTGTTCTTAACATTATAGTCTGTTCTAGAGTCAAAAGCAACAGCGAGCATCTTAGCAAAATGTGTAGAAATACCGTACGTAGCAGCGCCAACTGATGAAATTATAGGTCATAGCGGAACATCAGTTTTATGAATCTTAGGGAGAAAATATGCCTTAGATATAACTGTGTTATGATTTATCAACCTTTTGAATTCTATATCATTAATAAAATTTTTATTTAACAGATCTTTCAACAAATTATTCATAATGTTTTGAACATAATTAGTTTTGTCTTTGTTATTACCAAAAGATTTATATGTATCAATATCTTTAAGCATGTCTTCAGCCTTATTAACATATATTTCCTTTTTCATAATAACTGTGGTTGAACCTTTATCTGCTTTAGTGACAATGATGTTAGAGTTTTCTTTCAAAAATTTCACCGTTTGTCTCTGGCAAGTAATCAAATGTGACTCCAACCAGGTAGGTGGAGAATTCTCAGTTAGAAAATTAGTAAGGATGTTCGTCGCTCTCGCTCTTGCTTTATCTCTTATATTGGTGGATAATGAACCGACTATACTTTCTATTTCCATTAAGATGTGTTTAGCACAAAATGTTTTATCTGATAAAGGGTACACGTATTTGGGGCCCAAAGCTAAAAAGTGTTTCACATTCTCTGGCGGATCTATTTCTGACAGATTAACCAACCATTTATCTAGATTTACATTGATTGACGCTTTAAAATCAGCAACCATATCCTTATACAACTTATCAAACTTTCTGATGTTAGTTTGTTTCACTTTATTAAAAACTTTATTGTACCTCATGTGTAAATTATCTTTAAAGTTCAGTACAATGTTATGGGGCAAGTTTACATTAATTTTTTCAAACAATAAATTAATTGACTTATCTAATAATTTAATTTTATCCAAAGTAATTTTTATTTCAAAAGATAAAATACGTGTAGCTAACCTTTTTGAAAACTGTCCGATCTTCTCTTGTACCGGACCAGCCACAACGTCTAGTAAACTTCTCAAATTCTTTGCTCCATTACTTATGTGGTTGGGGGTGACGCCATATTTTCGACATTTAATTAACGCTTGTAACGGCGTGGTTTTGTTTTTTATATGAAGAAAAATTAAGACGTAATACTTTTGTATTTAACTTTTGCCCGGTTTCTTTACCATCGTGAGTTACTTTTGTACTTTTATGTAATTTGAAAGTTTTGACTTGATATTTTGTAGTGAGTTCACTCCCTGAAGAAGATTCAATATAGAATCGAAATATTGGAATGATTAATTGATTGTCGTTTTTTAATCCATTATCCTATCCTGGAACAACAATTTTTACGTATGTTAATATTGGGACTGCCGCCGCGTTGTACATTTTCAATTTTATCTTTTTATCTATCTCGTTCTTTCCAAAAATTGTTCTGTATTAGATATACACTTACCCAATACGGACCCAATATGAGTTATCTAGTATTGTTCTTTTTTGGCTTGCTACGTTTGCGCCACTACCAGTGAGTTCCTTGTTTATAAGTGTAAATATGAATGGATGGTCTCCTGGAAGAAAATAAACAATCAAGTTTGGCTTATACCAATAGAAATTTTATTGAAAATGAACCAAAAATATACATTCAATATTTATTCATTAGTTAACAGAAAAAGTATATATATTTATTGTTTGTGATAAATTTGAAAACAATCTTCAACACAAAGAGCTGGTTTCTCTTCACAGAGTGGGCAGAAATAACACGTTTCCCTGCGTTTTTGAGCTCTTGTACAAACTCAACAAGGCTTTGTCGGCAATTGCTTCTTTGCATGGGTGTTTAGCAATTGTCAAGAAATCTGTCAAGACCAATGATCGTTCCTCAACATCCCTATTCAAATTAAGTTGTTTCTTTGCAGTAGGGGGAATACTTTGTAAATAATGAAGGTCGCCCAATTTAGATTTTTTAGCTGAAGCTGACTGAATATTTTCACCAATCAATGTCTTCACAAATTCTTCTCTGAACTTTATTAGTTTTACTGGGGAACAATTTACTTTTTGAAAAAGTTTGTGTGTCTCAATAATATGTAATAGAGATATATCTGTTTTTAATGATAGCGATGTAAGTGACATCTAACGGTAGAAAAGAGAAACTTTGCACTGTTAAGTTGATACAAGACAAAATAAGTCGACTTGTCAACTTGGTAAAAATGAATCGTTGTATGTTTTATAAAATAAGTTGTAATAAAACCTTTTAAACAAAACAGTTCAGTGAAACATTAGTTTCTTGTGTATTTAAGGACCATAAAAGAATCCCAGAATAACAGTATCGAATATTCGTATTCACATTCATATACACATAGTTAAGAGGGCTCGATACCAGCTGATTTTTAGAAGCGTGAAAAGAGACAATAAAGTTCTGAGTGAGAAAGAGCAACTTGACAGTTCACTGTTGAACAATAAGTTGCATAATATCTAGGCGAATATATTTAAATTTTAATATTCAATTAATTATTAAATGATACAATCAATATATTGGAATTAACAGAAAATTTACTAAACATCGGTATTAAAGGCGAAGTATACTATTTTTTAATAGAAATACTCTTAATAACATAAGTATCAGTCAATATCTTGGGAAAATAATAAAACATAGTTAAATAAAAACATAAATTTATAGCCAATTAATAATTATTAATCCATGTTGCAAGTGAAAAATATAAAAAAATTCAAAAACAGATAAAAACTTCTAACTTGGTTTATTGTAATATACAGGGTGTCACACAAAAAACGCCCCAAGCTGTAACTCTGTCATTTACATTCCGATTTTCATGAGCGGGTTATCAAATGAAATGGTTTCATGAATACTATGATTCATGCTACAAATAAATTTTTTCCAAGGCCGTCTTCAATTTTAAGCGATTATTAACTTTTGCTTTTCAAATTGCTCTATATATTTTTCTTTACGTCATTGGATAGAGATTGTTTTTCTGAATCCACTGATGTACAATACATCCATTTTGAATATAATTTTAGTAGAGAAAAGACACCTGTATATACAGGTTGCCACACAAGAACGCCGCAAGCTGTAACTCTGTCATTTACCTTCCAATTTTCATGACCTAGCTATCAAATGAAATGGTTTGATGAATACTATGATTCATGCTACAAATAAACTTTTTCCAACGCCATCTTCAATTTCTAGCGATTATCAACATTTGATTTTCAAATTGCTCGGTATGTTTTTCTTCACGCTATTGGATAGAGTTTTTTTTTCTGAATCCATTAATGTACAATACATCAACATTAATTGTAATTGTAGCATAGAAAAACATTAAAATAGTTTCTGAACATTCTCTTAAAGTCACTTGTGTTATACTGTAGTGTGCCATGGGATAAATGAAAAACCAACTTATAAGTATCATTTACAACTGCTTGGGCATTGAAATAGCATTTAATGACTGTTATCAGTTTTGCGTGTTATTTTTTTCCATGGCACACTGCAGTATTACAGAAGTGACTAAGACAATGTTCGGAAAATGTTTTAATTGTTTTTCTCTGCTAAAATTACAATTAATGTTAATGTATTGTACATCAATGGGCTCAGAAAACAATTTCTATCCCATAACGTGAAGAAAAACATACCGAGCAATTTGACAATCAAAAGTTGATAATCGCTTGAAATCGAAGATGGCGTTGGAAAAAGTTTATTTGTAGCATGAATCATAGCATTCATCAAACCATTTCATTTGTTGCCTCGTTCATAAAAATCGGAAGGTAAATGACAGAGTTACAGCTTACGGCGTTCTTATGCGACAACCTGTATATACAGGTGTCTTTTTTCTGCTAAAATTACATTCAAAGTGGATGTATTGCACATCAGTGGATTCAGGAAAACAATCTCTATCTAATGATGTGAAGACAAATATATGGAGCAATTTGAAAAACAAAAGTTAATAATAGCTTAAAATTGAAGATGGCCTTGAAAAAAATTTATTTGTAGCATGAACCATAGTATTCATCAAACCATTTCATTTGATGCCTCGGTCATGAAAATCGGAATATAAATGACAAAGTTACAGCTTGGGGCGTTTTTTGTGTGACACCCTGTATAAATCGGAACCGGTTTCGGAATCAACGTTCCATTATCATCCGAAAGCTAATTATCTTATCTATTAGCTTATCTATTACCAAGTTAGAAGTTTTTACCTGTTTTTGAATTTTTAATACATTTATAGGATTATTAGCTAGTATATTTTAAAAGACCTTAACAATTTTTAGTACTAATATTTTATTGATACAATTAAAGATATCAATAAAAAATAAAAAGAAAAGAACTAAAAGTAATAATTGAGGGTATATTAAAAAAAAACAAAACACACTTTAATAATAACACAGTTTTATTGAATTTCAAGTGTTAATTTTAAATTAAGTTGCCGGAAACTCTATATACTTAGTAACTGTAGTGAATAATCTTCCAACCTACTAAATTATAAAAAAGAAGAAACAAAAAGAAAATTCAAATATCTGAAAAAAATCTAAATGAAATGAATGGTGTTCCACACAGCAAAGAGTAAATCTGTATTTCTAATTTTAATTTAAATTAGTATTCAAATGTTTGCTTATGGAATAACACAAATTTAATCATACTCAAATCATCAGGAGGTCCCATTCGTAGGCTTGTTTTTTGTCATTATTTTAAATCTCACAATTTACCACTACGCGAAAATGTGGTCGACATTACTTGATACCTTTACTTCCGATTTTCCTAAAATACGATTTTCATCTTTACTCATATGTATTTCAATTTGCCTTGCCGACCCCCTAACCCTGCAATACCCATTTGAAGGAGATAAAAGCAAAAAACCAGTTAAAGACGGTCAACGGTCTTTTTTGGTCTAACTACTTTGATATATAAGATTAATTAAAATATATGTCAACGTGGTGGGCTTCGAATATTTAAACTTCTATTCTTCCTGGGGTCCACAAGTTCAGGAAGAATACATTTAATATAAAATTCCTTTAGTGGCTCCCTCATTTTTGAATTCCAGAAATCAATATCTCTAAAAATCTAATTGCATTTATATTAAAATGTGAATCTACAGAGTAGCTATACTATGCACCTTTTCGACAAGCATTCCTTTTGGACTCCATAAAACGAAATAACACATAGTACGTTTTGTTACATGTAACTGGCCTTGAATTTGAAAATAGTAGTCATGGTTTCGTTTTATAGAGAGCATATTATTTTCATCCAAAGTGGCAAATTTTACAGTTTTGTTTCGAATCGCATCTTCAGGGCTTATGCTTTTACAATTTATTGGACATTTTATTTCCAGTATGGCTTCAGTACCCATTAAACCGTCTGGACTGGCTGCTAAATACCCATACTCTTCATCGATGAAAAGGCCACATGTCATCACAGATATTTTAAATTCATTTTCAAATGTTCTTATTGCTTCTAACTCTGAGTTTTTGCCATAATTAGTAGCAATATTCCCTTTAAACGTTTTGTATAAAATATCTTCCACCTTTTTAGCTCTCGATGTAGTTAACCTCATTTTACAAATTTTACCAAAATTTGATGCTGTTAGGCGGTTATTTCGATACTGAAACCATAGTGGATTATTGCTTTGGCCCACTGTAGCTCTTTCTATAACATGACGTTCATCAATTGATTTAATCATATTTGAGAGCAATTCTTGTTCTTTAACTTTGTATTTATCATCTGTAAAATCGGGAATTGGGTCTTGTACCTGACCATAATGATGATCCGCAGAAAATACCTTTTTTAAATAAAATTTTCTCTGTCCTCGACGTTGTAATTCATTTTTTCGATGACGTCTAGCAATAAATTTTTTTAAAATTGACCTGGGATCCTTGCTTGTCAATGCCTTCTGAATAATGTTGTAATAATTACTTTTTTCATTAAAAGATAAGGCAGCAGCTTTGCATCGAATACTATAAGAGTTTTTTAAAGAAAAATTTACTCTTTTTCTACCAATAAATTTGCAAACTACTGCATTATAATGTTCGGCATCATTTGTGTTCATATTATGCAATAAGCTACTTGCATTGTAGGTAATCCTATGTAAACATGCTAAAATATCTTCATATACTCCACATGCTTTCATTTCGGGAACATAGTTGACTTCACTATCTTTTGGAGAACAATTAAAATAATTTATTGCTACACAATCTTTATGTTCACCAAAAATGTGTGATGGGCAGTTAAGGATATCATGCTTTAAAAGTTTTATTTTATCTGCAAGATCATTTGTTTCTGTAGCTCTATACTGCGTAGCTTTCTTAATTGCGATGCAAAGTCTTTGCGTGGATGTCATAATATGTTTCCTGATGGAAATGAGTACACAACAATTTGTTGAAAGACTCTTTTTTCTGCCTACAAAGAACACAAAATTAGCATTAATAGCGGATATTCGATTTGTATTGAAAGCATATCATCAATCAATAATTATTGTCATCGACCTGAAGAAAACGGATCTTATCTTCCCAAAATGAAAATTAATAAATTATTTGTAACGTAATGTTTTTACTTTCTCGCATATACGAAGTATATAAAAGAGAATGTATTGTGATCATGCAAAAATTCGACTTCGAGAAAAGGTGGTTATATTATTGTATTGTAAACAGATGGGTTACTAAGAGATAAGATCTAAGCGATTATGTAACTTACGAGATATTTCACGTAGTTTTGTACCAAGGTTTCTATATAAATGGTTCCTACATTCTATTTTTTCTATACATGCACTACCATGCGGTCTTGTCTCTAAAATCTTCTTATAGACGCTGCTATCCCCATCACCAACAATTTTTGTATATTTTAATCCATGCATTTCTATGCTACACTTAAAATCTTCAACAATAATGTCACTTTCCATTGCAGTGGATGAACCATTCCAGTTTTTATAACATATATGATCTCTTTTATAAGACTCATTATGTTCTGCTCTTGCACAGATACAACAGTACTTATTACTTATGTTTAAGTACAACAACTTTCCTGTGCGTTGACCGATTATACAGGCCTAAAATAAAAATATCACATTTTTAATTTTTATTTATAATAAATCTACAATGAAATACAAATAATAACACAATAAGCACTTACAACTCCAGAAAGAGCGTTATAATTGACATTGTATGATCGCTTCGACCAAGATCCACCCACTACAACGGTTATACATGGGATACCATTCTTGTCGACATCTCCTATATTTTTGGCTATTTCAGCTTCTTCTTTAGCTGCTTCTTCCATACTTTTTAAGGCACTATCATGAATTATATGAGCTATATTATCATGAGAATTATTGTAGGTTTTATTAGCCATAAATGGGATATCAAGAACAGAGAAAAATTCATCAGCTTGGGAGTAGCCGATTCCTATAGACGTTGCTACCAAAACAACACTATCATTTATTTTTGAGGTGTTAATGGAATCAGTGGTAATTTTTTTTTGTATTCCGCACATTTTACATTGAAGTGTAATTTGTGAAGACAAACCATTTCTTTGTTCTGAAATAATATGCATATCCACAACAGAACAATTAAATGGATTATGGTAGCCGATTTCACATATTTGGTTCATAAAAGATGAAACATCAACAATCCTACGTCCATCCAATTCAAAGCTAAAATTTTAGTTCGTCTGTGTGTTAATTGTATTTACTCTTATTTATAAGTAATATACTACCTTGGTGAAACAGTTCTTTCAATTTCTACTTCCAATAATGAAGTTTCTATGTTTCTTTGTGTGGGTGATAATGGTCTCTCTACATCAGAGATGACAGCATTATACATGTTAGGATTGTCAGCTAAAACATTTAATGTAGGTAGTAAGGAATTATTGGTTTTATAATATGGTTACTCATACATTGTTCCTCAATATCCATACCTATATCTTCTTCATGTGCAATAACATCCTCTAATCTAGATGTTTATGTTAGATATTATCACATATTGAAAATGTAAAATAATTGCATGCAATATCTATATCTATTTAATATCAATATCTATTTACTGTTACAACCCAAACTGTGTAGAATTATCGGAAAAAATCTAAAATAAAATGGCATTCTGCCGTTTGTTTTATTTATATACATGGATGCTAACTACATGTTTACACTTACCCTGCACAATTCAAGGTTTCTGAAATTCTTGTCTTCGTCATCCTCCTAACGAAATAATTTCATAATTTATTATACTTATAAAACACAACATTCACGCTATCTCTTACCTACAACGATTCATTCTTTGCTTTATACTTTTTCTGCGCGTACCTACGGTAAGGTTACGATTATCCATG